CCCTTTCGTACGACTTACATCTGGTTTTTGTTGTCCATCGAGTTTCCTTAAGCCAACGTTAGTCCTTTACGGTATTAGATTCCTTCTCTTCCACCCCTTGCTTCAGCGCCGCCAACTACGTCAATCACGATCTGATGCGATCATAATTGCTATTGCTATCAACGTCTGCAATGAAGGCGGGCTACTTAAGCTTGACAGACTTGCTTTTGACGGTGGCCTCACTGATATCTTCCGGGTTCCCGTCCTCGACATCCATTGTTGAGCTTTCCCAGGTGCCGTCCGATATAAACTTTATTGCTGATACCGCACTGTATGTGAATGTGCATTATACATTCTTTCTTATAACTGTAACAGTCAAGTACGTCAATGCCAAGCCTAAATAATTTTACCACAAAAGCTACAGCTTCTTGTCATTCTCTGCTAGAAATTGCAATTTTCAACGGAAAAATAGCGGGAGATATATACGTCGACATATTTATTGCTTTGTAGATACAAGACACTAACGAATTGTATTGATCACTAAATCAGCGCCATAAATTTAGCTGCACCTTACGTTGTTTGTTCTACAATAATAATATTTCGGGCAGGATTATCTAGACCAAGCTACGTAGTAAGTACGCTTGCCGTAGTACTTAAGAAAGCAATCGATCTTCAAAACTTCAAAACATTCTTTAAACAAAATCAAAGATGGCTCGAAAATTAACAGTGCAGGTCCGTAAAGTGAACGTTAACAACGGTTAACATATCTATGAAAGTAAATCCAGCGTTGGGTTTACTTATTAGGTATTAGTATAGGAGTAAATTGATATCTTATATTATGATAAAGTCTCCTACTTTGAAGATGAAAAGAGGAAAATATGAATCTGAACATAACGCTCGTGAGTACCTGGAGCCGAACCTTACTTGAAAATCTTATTACGATTTATCTGTCAATAAACTTTTTCAAAAACTACAACAGGGCTTGAAGCCAACGAGAAAAGGCTAGCTGTATTTATTTTTTGAAACGAAACACGGTAAAAGAAAGATTGCTGGCAGTGTATACCACAACTAAGTACAAACGAAAAGTCACAAGGGCGAAACGAATAGACTGGTCCCTTTGAGACATTCGTAAAAAATACATATTAGAAATACTATAAGAAGAATTGGCGTTAACAGATTTGTTTATATCTGCCTTAGCGAGATCATGGTTAAAACTACGCTAATTACAACAACAGGCATGAGACATTTAGTCTGCAACTGATTCTCAGCTTCCACTCGCTGTATACTAAATCATTCGGAAATTTAAATATGAGGTAGTACTACGGAAGTCATCCAGGAGGAAACCCACGGCATAACTGGGCCCACCTCAATGCCCCGTCGAGACCCGCAAAGGGCAGGCTTCCATTGCGGAGTGTCAGCTTCGATATGATGTACTATATGTGATGTTTTGTTCCATCGATTATGGTTACTTGGTCTGTGGGTTTTGCTGGACTTATCTGGGTTTCTCCCCTACAGTCTTAGGAAACGGGATGGTAACAATACGCCGTAGAAACTATTTGCCAGTGCTAGAATTTGAACCATCGATAGTCGCATGTTTACTGAAGTACTTGAAGAGATGTGCATTAGCTACCCACTTGAAATACCTTCTAATAACAGGCATGTTGCTTGGTGATAGCTGCTTGGTCCCGGTACTATATATACATATACTCTATAATATGTAACAGGGTTTGTATTTACGAGCACATTGTCTCGAAAATAGTTTTTGATGATTTTCGTGTGTAGACAAGAAAGTCTTAGGGTGAAAATCATATGCCTCGGAAACATAAGTTTGATGCTAAAAATTACAAGAAGATATCCGTGAATTCGAATGTAAATCGAACAGAGAAATCGTCTTTTTAGAATGTTCGCTAATTTATGGAACATTCTAACATGTTTAGAACTGTACAAAATAAGCACAAAGCTGAATTAAAAAAAAAATTGCCATAATGTAATCACGCTTTAATAATAATGTAATAACATTTTCATGAGGAAATATATACATATTTCCTTATGAAAACGATAAAAAAAAAACCATGAAAACCTAGGTGTTTTATATTACTTACCTTCTTGCTTTCTGTACTGTAATTTCTGTATAATATTCTAAGACATAAAATCAGTTAATCTAAAAAGAGCCGAATAATCATGAAAGGATAACAAATTAAGACTAACACAACGATGACCTACAAGTGCTATATAAACACAAGGGTAACTGTGTGACTGGCACCCTGTAGTGAAATATCTCAATTAGAATAACTAAACATATGGAACCAAGTGACTGAAATGCTGGAACAATGTGATCGAATTGCTAAAAGAGAATAACAGATAACAAAGTAATAGAATAACTGGTGCGGTGCACTAAGCTTAGTGAAACAGAGCAACAGAAAAACCGGCTGTGTTTACACATTAACGATGGTATAACGAAGAGACACAGACAGTGCAACTACAATGAGTTTTCTGAGATCTACACTCAGACTCAAGTCCGAACTCGCTTTAGAATGAAGTGAAAAAAGTAACGGATGTGATAGGTCGAGTAGTAACTGCCGCCTATCACCATCTGCTCCGAACCCAGTAGGTGTGCAAAACAATTCTATTCTCTATGGTCCTGCCAGTATCAAACGGGCAGACAAATTTCCGTGGGCCACCCTTTTACGTCTTTGAACCAAACAGGCACAGATAGCTGAAAGCCAGGAGGTTTAAAGATTTAAGCAACTATTTTAAGGACCTTAACAAGGGAACAGACAGCGCTTTCGAGTTGAGTGTATTTGGTCAGTAAAGGGTGGTAAAATACCAATAAGATCGAATATAGAGTGTCAGTGTCCTCTGAAATACATATTTGAATCTTACTGTCAAGATGACCATATCCGTGGACTGTTAGTAAGTGGAAATGCGTTATTCTACAATCTCAAATGCGTGAGGTTTATGTGTATATATATAAAATTCTGGCGGCGACAGATACTCTCTTCCGGTTGTACACGTAGTCAACAACAAACCGAACTTCGTTAAAGTGGACCAATGTATATGTGCATGTATTTCGCACTGATGACTGAGGCAACATCGAAACTAGTAATATATGGCAATTTCTACATAATCCAATTGAAAGTAACAGGTGTCGTTGACAAGAGGGATCATGTTATCACATCCCAACAATGATGGCCCCCATTTGTAGGTTACATCAATATGAACCTAAGTACCCGTTTCATAACTTCCATAATAGTATCCAAAAAGTCCTGGCGCTTTAAGTCGAAATAGGCCAAATGCCAAAAACCTTATCAGTATACGTATGTAGTAAAATTCGCTATCATTAAGCAGCCTCTTGTCGAATCAAGATTCTTACAATTTAAGTCTAAGTAAATGAAAAAATTGACTTGCAGTTAACAATGAGGTAGGCTTACAGTTGAAATGTAGGTGAAATTCACGTTTCATTTCCAAACAAATACCGACACAAATATAACATACCATTTTTACTTTACTGTGTAACAGTTGAAGCAGGCCTTAAACATAAAAGATGCATATGTATGGCACGAGCGGACGCTGAACATTACGCGACAAAAAAAACGTATTTTAGCATTTTTTTCGGGGGTCGATGTGCTTCAAAATATCACGTTCCGTTTATAGCTCCCTTTCATTTACCACATGTAGGCAGTTATGCTTATAACTGATAATGTTTACTTTAAAGAACGTAACTGGCTAAAAAAGCAGTTATGCAGGAGCGAGAACGTAAAACGGACTCGAAATAATAGGCTCGATTAACACGGCTCAGTTTGGCCATGTAAAAAATGCTTTGCAAGATCCGAAGCAAGTTTAAAGAAACAACACCAGTTAGTATTGCTCGATAAAGTGTAGTCGGCGTTTAACTGTCACCCGCAGCCAAAATCGAGTCATAGTAAAAAACCTCGATATTTTAAAGCACAGAGCTGCTTCTGAGTTATATCTCCCGTAGATCTTTAAATCGTATAAGAGTCCTTTAAGGCTCAAAAATGTGCCGGTCAAGACCAGTTTATGGTAAACTGGAAAATAACCCGAACCGCCGCCTCCGATTAGTTTAAGGAATTTTCGACGAACAAAAAGGAAGTGATGAGATCTTTGTGAGAATTACGTGTCGACAAATTTCTTTTTCAAGCTTTCCGAAACTGTAAGTTGCCTTGCCCGCGTTTAATGTGGTATGGAAAACTCGACTGATTTGACACTTCATTAAATAGACCCGAAATTACAACAGCAACAGCCTTTGTTGTAAAGGGGTACCTGTTTGCTTTGGTACGACCGCTGTTCGGGGAATCTAATTTGCGATACTGAGGAACGTTAGGCAAAACAATTAAGCGTTTTTCTCCTAACCGAACACACTAAATAATTTGCCTGTAGGTAGAGAGGCCAACGGGGGTTGGCAAACCCCAGAAATCGCCCCAAAAATATATCTTTTTAAGGTTTATGTAGAATAAAGTTTTTACGCGAAGGTAGAGTTTTGTTGAGCATTAGAGGACAGCGGATACACTGCAGACGCACGTCTGAACATTGCGAATAGGCTATATCAATTTATGAATAGTGAAAAGGCCACTTGAAGAATTTACGTGTTCTATGAAGCCGTCATTGTAAACCACAAGCCTATTAAAGGTCAGCAAAAACAATCATTATATTATATATATA